TCCTCTTCTACTTCCCCCCCCCCATTTTTCCAGTGCTTTTCCTGTTTTTTATTTCCCCAAATAATTTCTTAAAGAGAAAAAGATGGACTAGGTGCACAATATATTTTGTCTTTTGTCTGGAAGTACCCCTTTGGTACAACAAGGATAAATGTGCTGCATAGCCTCTTTGGCTGCAGTTCCAAATCACCAAAACTTGCTGAAGCTGATTGTTACCGTGGGGTGTTTAATTACTCTTCTTTCCTTACATGAACAGAAAGCAGTGCCCAATAAAATCATAAATGCAAATAACAGTGCCACAGTACAGAAACATGGTAAATAAATATACCAGTAACCACAATAGTAAACCATTCTGCAGAATTTAAAAAAGTGGGGAATCAACTCTCATCACAGCAGAAAGAAACATTATTATTCTTTTAACCAAGTAATATGCTGCACACCCTATCTAACCTATATCTCTTAAGAGTGAATCTTATGTGGTGGGCAACCTTTTTGGGTGATGGTCATATTTGGCAATTTGAGAAAATGTCCTGAGTAGCACCACAGAAGGGATTCCATTGGAGGCATAGAAAAGGGTAAGTAGCCTGCCCAAAAGTTGAAGTTCAAGAGAGAGAGGGTGGGGTCTGAGTTGCCACTTGGGAAACTGCTCACTTGAACCTCTATGGTTTCCAGCTCCAACAGAAGCCTATTTCGTAGCAGTCCTGGCTGCTAGTAAGAAAATGTGGTGTGTGTGCTTTTAGAAGTGAAGGGGTAGGGCATCTTGGCAAACAAGAGGTCTGTCAGCTCCTGTGCATCATATTGCTGCCCCGTTTTATACCCTCTTATGAAGAAGCATAGTTCAGTCTTTAGACAATTCCACACTATAAACTGTGAATTTTATTTCACAAGTAGGTAGACATATTTGTGGTCAGTGCCATAGACTCTGATAGACACTCTAGCTGCACACAAATACTTGGCATAGTGAGAGAGTACCCAGATTTTTTAGATTTTTTAAAAATAATGGTGCATTTTGGGGACTTGACTAGATAAAGATTAATACAAACTATGTGCAGAATAATCAGAGTCTGTTAGGCTCTAACAGTATGTAGCGCTACTAGTGTAGCCATGTGTGCTTTTTTTTTTTTTTTTTGGACAGAGTTCAGTTCTCTGTTTGACAGGCTGTCCTGTCTGTTTGTGCTTTACAAATAAAGAACTATCAGAACCTTTGCCCATCAACAGTTAGTAGCTGAACAGCAGACTAAAGAGGCAGGCACACAGGTTATCTAGTCTCAGTTGTCTGCACTATGGTGATATGGACTGTAGTTCTGTGTAAATTACAAAAAAATATTTATTTAAAGCTTTTATATACCACCCAACTACTAAGAATGGCTGAATTAACATGCAAATTTTATTCTATTTATTTCCATTTAAAAAAGTATATTCCACTTCTTTTTTTAAAAAATCCAAACATAGTTTACAGTATAAAATCATGATTAAAATACAATAAATGCAATAAGTCACATATCTATAACAACACATTATATTAAATAATATGTAACAATATTATAATTAAAGTTGTAAACAATATAAATCATGTTAACATTTTAAAAAGCCAATGTAAATATGATATTTAAAATGATTAAAATAACTAGAGGTAACTGGCACTTGTAGTGGTCAGGGAAATGCTTGGGCAAACAAGACTGTCTTCATTTGTTGACAAATACATTACATTCTAGGATCCTGCCTGATCTCAAAAGATCATCTTACACAGTGGGCACTACAATTGAGAAAACTCTCTTACATACCGTAACTAAATGAACTTCCACATGATCAGCAAACTCACTCTTTCAAAATGTAAAGATTGGGGCAACCTGTGCAGAAGAATGCCCTGAACTATTTAGGGCTTTATAACCCTTGGACATATCTCAGTATCTATGTTCTGCTGAATAATCTAGCTGCCACTTTTTCATACCTTGCTTCCCCAAAAATAAGACCTATTTCAAAAATAAAACCTAGTACTATTTTTGGTACTTGCTAAAATATAAGACCTATCCTGAAAATAAGACCTAGCTGTGTTTATTCCCAGGGCCAGTGGGGAACGTAAAGAGCCTTTTTAAACTTTATTTTTAAACTTAACTTAATGCACTGTGTGGAGGAAACATGCTAGTGCAGCTCTGCTCCCTGCCCTCCACACAGAGCCGCATAAGCCGATGCTTCCTCTATAGCGCTGGCTCCTGTCACAGGCGGAGGGATACCAAATGTACATGAATAAGTATGGATTGTTGTACACATTAAAAAATAAAATAAAAAATAAGACCTACCCCAAAAGTAAGACCTAGTGTGTTTTTGTGAGCCAAAATAAAATAAAATAAGACAGTGCCTTATTTTCGGGGAACCCGGTACTAGCCTCAGGTTCCAAACTGTGGCCAGGTACACCTGTAACTCTCATACCAGTAGAAGCTGGTAATTGGAGCTCTTTGCCACCAAAGAATCCTAGAGTCCATATCCTTTCCTGTCCCTCTAGGGGAAATGCAATCCCATCCAGAAAATGTAAATTATCCAACCCATCAATACTGCCTTCATCTTACCAGGAAGGAGTTTCAGTTAATTGGCAGTCATCCAGCGCACCACTACATCCAAGTACACATTCCAGGTGCCATGGCCACACCTGACTCAGATGTGACAGAGAAATAGAAGCTGTGTGCCCTGCATATTAATGACACCTTGTCCCAAGTCCCATAATGTCTGTACCCAGTGACTTCATATGGATGTTGAAAAGCACTGAAGACAGGATTCTGCCATGTGGCACCCCACAGCATGATTGCAAAGAAGCTGAGGCACAAGCCCCGAATGCTACTCCTTGGAACTGACTCTGCAGGTAAGTATGGAACTACTGCAATACAGAACCCCCTCATCCAATCTCACAGAACTGGTCCAGGAGACTTTCATGGTAATATGGCCCCTCCCATCAGCCAGTGAAGAAGCAACTTTCACCTTCCCTAGCATGACTGCTCAACTCCAAAGAAGAGAAAATGAAGGGCCTCTGCAAAGAAGGGCCTGCAAAGAAAAAGATTCCTACTCCACTTTATCTTGTGGTTCTGTGCATGCAAACATGCACTTTCCTTACACATAATTAGCTACAACAAGCCAGGAAGAGAACTCTGGGTTGTTACTAAGAAATGACATACTGTAGTGTCTGCAACATATTTCATATTCAGGGTGGTAGTTACATGTGAATCAGTAACTTAATCAGTGATTCCTCTCAACCCCCCCCCCCCCCGGGTATCCTTCCTGATCAAGAGATCTTAAACGCTTGTACATTTTTGTGGACTTTGGTCGATCTACAACACATATTACACTGATACGCATTTTGTTACTTAAAGGAGGTACCCTTGGCACCTAGTTGATAAGCCTTTAGATGCCTGGTTACTGTTAGTTACCCCAGGAGTTTGAATGCATGTAATGATTTTATGTAGTTTATACAGTTCACTGGTATCCCTGTTTATATTGTTGTGAGTGATACTGCTTTGGTTAGTTGGTGGCTCAGGCATGGGTTTGTTTGTTTTTTTGTACTGTTAAAGTTTGAAATCTGAATTTATGAAGGGTAATGCAAAATGATTTAAATAAACATAGAAATGGGCATAATCCATGGCCCAGTGGTGGCACAGGCAGCTCTTATGTGGCTTGTAAGGTTCTACTTCTACCTTGGATGTAGGTTAGGCTGGGGGGATGACATGTTAGAAACCTGTATTTTCTCTTTCCCACTTTCTCACTCTCTCACACAAACGTTTTTGGGCATCTTCAAAAATGGAACTTCTAGTTCTATTCTGGAAACTGTCAAGCCCCCTAATTACTGTTTGGAAACAACTGATACTACAGTCTGCAACAATTACCAAAGTGACGTCTGCAGAGCCATTCTCTTTCTCCCCCTCCCTCCCCACCATCTTTCTGAAATTCAACAGGAGCTGCTAGTCCCTGCTCTCTTCCGAGCAATATCCACTTCTTCAGCAAATTTCTTTATGCCCCTGAACGTTTCATACTCCCGGGAATCTCTCATGTTTGCTTTTAACTCTTCCGGCGAAGGAGGAAACGATTTTAATTGCCTTTTCTATAATGGGAGGGCACGCGGAGGTGAATCGTGTAAGGACAACAGGGCTGGAGAAAGAAGCTGCGGGCGGGCGGGAGGGCGGCTGAATCGAGGCGGCTGAAGACAGTGTGCGTTGACAGGGAAGGTGGCCTGGGAGACTGAGGGATCTGAGGAGAGAGGAAGCCCCCTTGATCTTAGCACAGGGCGCTTCCCCTCTTCGACACGCACCGAACCTCTTTCTCTCTGACGCGGTTCTTCACCTCCCAGCTTTTCCTGCTCGTTTCAGGAAGTCCTGCCAAAGCTCTTTGCAACAATGAGAATTAAAAGGGGGTGGGGTCAGTGCTTCTGCTGGGGACACCCGTTCACAAGAGCCAGTGGCCATCAGGCTCTGGGAAAATTGAGCTGTCATCTCTGTGTATCATACCCCCACCACCACCTTGAGTCCTGGGGGGATGTTGTTGTTTTTTGTTTTTTTTCCTCCGGGTGGGGGAGAGGGCATCACGTGTAAAATAAAGAAGAGAAGGGGTATCGGCGGCTAAAGCTGGGGAGGGGTAAAAGAGAACGACCAGAAAGCAGGTCTGAACAATAGAGAGCGAGAGAGAAGAGGAGGGGTGGGCACAGCGTGAGCCGCCGCCGCCGCCGCCGCCGCCGGTTTCTCTCTGTATGCGTGTGTGTGTGTACACGCCTTTGGAGAAGACGAGGAGAAGAGACCCCTACCCCACAGGGCTGGCAGCAGCAGATCCCACCAGACAGCCTAGCAGGGATGGGGAGCGCCTAGGCGGGCTGCTGAAGGCTTCTCCCTCCCTCCTCTTCCCCATACGCCCTCCCTCCCTCCCTCCTTGTGGCGTGTGTGTCTCCTCTCTCGCCCCTCTCCTCTCTTTCTCCACCTCCTCCTCCACAACTCACTGGATATTACCCAGTCGCCGGGATCGCTGCTGCTGCTGTTCCTGCTGTTGAGCCTCCTTCTGCCCAAGTCTAGCCATGAACCCGGCCGAGGGGGCAGCGGAGGAAGGGGCAGTTCCCGATTCCGAGGTGGATGCCTTTTTCCGAACAGGTAAAAGGAGAGGGGCAACGGTGAGGAAGGGAGGCGGCGGGTAGAGAAGATAGGCTGGGCTGCCAGCGCCCTGGCGAGACCTGGAGGCGAGATTTGGTGATGTGTTGTGTATCTGGGGGATGGTTAACGCTGCGGCGCGTGTGGTGTTAGAGTCCCTTTGTTTTGGTGAGGCAAGAGGAGATTTGGGTGTGTGTGTATGCCCCTAATTGGGGATCCTTAGTCTTGTTTCACCCCCCCCCCCGTACCCCGCCTCCAGTTCTCTGTGTCTTCTCCCGCCCTGCATTGTTTTCTCTGGTTATTGCCTGTTAAAAAAAAAGAAAAGAAAGGAGGGGGAGGCAAGGAGGGAAAGAGATAAAGAAAGAAGGGAAAGATTTAGTCTTTTCTACCCTCTTTTGGCACGATAGATGGACAGACACTTTCCGAGGAGAATCCTCCGTCTCCATGCGAGATGATGCTTTTTGTGTGTTGGGCTCTGGTTTGTTTCCACGGATATGGAATGGAATGGGTTGTGGGGGGGGGGGGGGGTAAACTGTTGGCTGTCAATCAGTTGTACAAGGCAAAACAGACCGATGCTTCTTTCGTTCTCTTCTGCTGTTTTTGGGGCGTGTGTGTTTGTTCCTATACAAATCCGATTCTGCCTTTCGCACAGGAGCGGAGCAATCTTCGAACACTTTTCAGAAAGCAAGAGCATGTTTGGTTGCTTGCAACCCACCCACCCCATTCCCCATGATCACCACACATCCTCTGTTCTTGTTCAGACTCTCTAAAACATCAGTATAACCTCCACATTTTAAGGTATATATAAGCCGAGATGAGCGACTAAATGATGGGGAGGGGGATGTAGACTGTGAGATGCTGGCTTCCTAAGCGCGTTTCTTAAGCTGATGTATAGGTTGAGTCTGGTGATGGAGCCAGAGGCTTAGATATTAGCCATCTTCAAGGTGCTGCCTACAATATTACGTTATCTTGCTGGATCCATAAGGCAAGTAAGAATTGTGGGTGTGGAGGGCAGTATTCAACAACCTCAATTAACTACTGTGGAATGGAGATCCTTTTTGAAATCTCTTCCTTCCTACTCTTTCAGGAACCAAGTCTGTTCTGCTTTCAGTCACTGATTCATGGAACGTTTGCAAATACACCAAGATTCTCTTTTCTTTGCACATCTCACTATTCTATATATTTCTTTGATGATCCTTGATGAAATCTTCAAATAACCTCCTCTTTTCCTCTTAATGACAGAACTCTGTGCACATGTGTGATGACTTAAATGCTGTGACTTTTTGCCTAAAAGGTATGGTCTTACTTGCTATGAACTTTCAAGGCAAGTCCTTTAGAAGGTCATCATAGAGGACATATCAAGATATGATTCTGTGTTAGAGCAACTGGTGTTTGCCCTCTAGCTTTGAAGGAGGGGGCTGAAATAGCTTAAGAGTTTGAATGCAAGTAGCTATGTGCACATATGAGAGAATGCAAAGTGAGGAATGATTCTAAACATGCATGTACATAGAGAGACCCATATGGTTGATCTTAAATTATGTTCTTAGCTCTGATGAAAGTATGAGAAAACTCCTAGTTCCATTAGTCAGAATCTGGTGGGGGGAGCATTACAGGCAACTTGGTGGAGTCTTAATTAAGGATTGTAAAGGATTAAATGCTTTCTTTAGAATCTAAAGTTGAGAGGGATGCTTGACCCTTCCACATTAAGGCTGGTTTTTGCTGTGCAACTACGCCTGCTTTGCTTTTCCAGCTGCCTTTCCCTCCTGCTTCAGTTCAGCTCTAATCATCAGTCACGTGGAGTGTTTCTCCAGCCACAGCAGAACAATCGCATCATCACCCAAACTTTTCAAGAAGTTTATTCCTACAGATCCATGACAGGCTCCTTGGCTGCCCTCCATGGAAAGCTGCACCCCATCTATGTGAATATGCTTTGATCTCTGAGGATAAGTATTATAAGGTCTGACTCCTTGTGTATCTCATGAGCCACACAGTGCTGATGGATGCTTGCCTGTTGATACCTTAACAAGACAGCAAGCAAAGCATTTATAGATTTCTCATGGCCTTTCAGTGCACAAGTATCCTTGGGCTGTGAATGGTTAAAAGATATACTTGAATCATTTTTTTCTAGTCTTACCATACCCCTGTGCTTTTAGTTCTTATAAGATCCATTGACTGTTGAATTTTCATTGAAAGGTTATATCTGGGTTTTTAAAAGTTTAAATAACTGCTCAGCAACACTTCTTTTATATATACATACATACACACACAGAATGCTGCTAAATTAATTCTCTGATCATATGTTTCCTTTTCTAACTACACTGCTAACATTCTATATCAAAGTAATCTTGTGTATGATCCTGTTTAGGTGTTATGTGGATTTTCTGAAAGTTTTCTGAGCATTGAAATCCATTCAAAGAAGTAATTAGTTTGAGTGGCTTCTATGACAATCTCATGTATAGTGTTTAGTGTAAAACACTGGTTCCATTTCACACAAGAATTTGTTATTGATTCATTGACATGAAAAAGTGTCATTTGTTTGTAGTGATAAGTTAACCTAGGCTTTTAAATTAATACAAACAATGCTGAGGGAGAGAGAGAGAGAGAGAGAGAGAGGGAGGGAGGGAGGGAGGGAGGGAGGGAGGGAGGGAGAGTGAGCGAGTGAGTGAGCTGGGCTTTTGGCCATGGGCCCAAGCTTGGCAAAATCAAATAACCCTTACTGGAAAAATCCATTTATCTAGGGACGTTTCTTGTTCTATTTGTCTTTTTGCTTTTTGTATATGCTTGTATTGTGAGTTCTTAGAGTTGCTGTTGTTGTTAATGAATGTCAGAAAGTTGCAGGGAGAGAACAGAGCAGTCAACATATTCAAGGAAGAAAGTCTAGAACAGAGAACATTCATAAGCAAATAAATGCCATGGCTTTATTCCAAAGTTATAACAAATAAAAGTTTTATTCTGGTATGTCTAGAAAGGGCTGTATATGATGGATCTCTAATATGTTATTAGATATTGAATCCTTAGCTGAGGTGTCTTAGTAATAGTTTGCCTAATTCTACATGCTCAGGGACCACTTTATTCTACAGAGTAGTGCACAGGTTGAAAGCATAAGTGTTAATTTTAAGTGTCCTGTTTCAGGACTTGCAGATACTCAATGTAGCTCACTCTGCTTTCTCCTTCCTGACCTCCTTCCTGGCAAGAGAAGGCTACAGTGGCAGGTAGTTCCAAGGCTTGGCAGACAACCTTTTCCTGCTATGGAATCTGACCCCAGCCCCAATCCCTGCACTGAAAGATTCTTCATTGGGCCTTTGAAGTGTCTGCCATTGCATTTGTTGCCATCTCCCCTTGCTCATGATCTATTTCTGGGCCTTGGGAAGGAATAAGGGGTTTCATGATCAAGGCAAGCACAACACATCTTGCTCTACATGCAGAATTTGAGCAGGTTTGTGCTTACCTCAGGCATCTTTGTCTCAGTCTTATCCCATTATAAGTAAACTTGGAACAGTTTAGACACCCTTGCACCCTTATTGTAGCGCAATAAGATTGCAATACGTATATGTGCACATTATATCCATGTGACAGATAGAGACACTTAACGTGATAGTGGCAAGTATCTTCTCTAATTCGATCAATCACATATCTTCATTGTTTCTTGTAAAGATTTTATGTGATTGCTCTTCTGCATGCAGATCTTATTAAGTAGTCTGGCTACACATTTCATGCCAATCTGTGTTAAATACAGATTGTAGGTTGTGTTGTTCCATAGCTATTAACTAGAACTTTATTTGTAGGAAGGAATTAATGTTAGAGAACTTCTGTGTGTGTGTGTGCAAAGTAGTTAACTTCAGTTGCTGATGTCTTGGCTATGCACTGTGCATACATTGAGAACCGAGGAACTTTCATATTAAGAAGTGGAGAAAAATTAAGGAAAATGTTGCTCAGTTTGTAATTCAGCTAAGCATTTTGTGTTAGACTGTCATGTACAGAACCATGTAATAATACATTTTGGTAACATCACTGATTTGTTTTATTATTACTTTGCAGGACTGTGTGCTGCCAGTCAGCCCAAGTCCTTTCTCTAAGCAAAGATTGAACACTGGCCCTTTTTATGTTTTATTACACTTCAGAGTCAAACTATATGTAATATTAAACACATCTTTTCATCTAACATTCATTATTATTATTCCCGGCTATGGAATACACTCCCCAGAGAGGTTTGTCTGGTGCCAATGTTATACGCTTTTCAACGCCAGGTTAAGACATTTTCATTTACCCAATATTTTGAAGTTTAAATATTTTAATTGTTTTTATTGATATTCTCAGTTGCATTTTATCTTGTTATTTTATCTTGTTATTGATTGATGTATTTATTAGGTATTTATCACATTGTAAGCCATCCAGAGATGATTGGTGTTGGACAGGATAAAAATATTCTAAATAAATAAATAAAACAATATTACATCCTCATCCTCATCATCATTACATTTATATACTGCCTTGTTTCCTCTTGTGAGGAACCCAGGGTGGGTTACATAGCTTCATTTTAACCTCATAATAACAACCTCATGAGGTAGGTTGATCTGAGAGCCAGCGAGCTTCATGGCCAAGTGAAGACCAGAACCCTCCTCTGGGTCTCCGGTCCAGCACTCTAATCCCCACACCACCCTGGTATTTACTGTGCATTTTTTAAAAATGCAAATCGTATCAGACGAAGGGCTAAAGCTTCTTCTGGATATACCCCCTTTTGGAGAAAGTGTCAGAGACATATCATGCCCCCGCAGCTTATTCCAGCAAAGTAGCCCCAAAGAACACCACAGTTAATGGTATCTTCTGTGCAGGTCACCCACCACTGTGAGCTGGGTACAATCTATGAGCTGGGCACAATCAATACTGGACAATAATTGTTTGTGAATTGTTTGTATCAAAATTCTTTTAAAGGGAGATCAATTTGCTGTCTCTTTCAAGGCAGCCCAACCTCACATTTCCTTGAGGAAATAGTAACCATCTCC